GGGGGGGGGGCAGGTGGAGGATCCTTCTCCTCCTCAGGTGGTCACCCCCTTTAGGTCGTGGGGGAAGCGAGTTCGGGGGAGAAGACAGAAGAGATTGTCCCCAATGTAGAATCGCTGTACCCGTGGCCACATATCCCTGTCGCACACAAATTACTCTGGTGTATTCTGGCTTGGAAGCAGTGCTGACCCTGGACACTCCAGGTGGTGATACATGGTTACAAAATTTCGCTGCTATCTCTGCCTCCCCTGTCAATGTCTCCCCCAACAGGGTGCTGCTGGGGGATCTCCTCAAAGCAGAGGCAATCCAACAGGAGGTAGACAGTTTTCTTACAAAAGGGGGCAATACATAGGGTAGAAGACCCGGCAACAAATCCAGGCTTCTACTCACACGTGTTTGTAGTTCCAAAAGCCAACTAAATCACTATCTGCTCCTCGATCGGTTCCACATGGATACACCAAACACTGTTTTACTCTTCTTGCACCGTCAAATCATTTAAGCTGGATGTATGTTGGTGGGCGGGTGGAGACAGTAACTAGGCGGCCATAAAACTTGATGGGCGGGCTGCCCACCTAAAACCCCTTGTGGAGAACACTGTACGTATACATGTAGGGAAATCTTTGGTCTCAGACTCATGAGTGCTGGGTGTAATATTGGTTGGAACTTGGCTATGCTCATGTATAAACATTAAAGAGTCTTTGCGTTTTTAGCATGCACCGTTATGGTCTCTTAGGACTTGATTCTCTCTTATACGCAGGTGTAAAATATTATTTACAGATGATTGTTATAAGTGTATTTACCAAACTGTTCCCACAGATAGTTCAGTTGTGTAGTTGAGTTGTTAATATTGTTAATTAAATGTGTACATACTTTATTACCAGTGTGTTACTTTACATAAAATATGTAATGAATAAAGGCCTGCTTCTCTCTTTTTTTCTCACAGTGAAACCCTCCAAAAAATTAACTTGCATGTACCTTGCTAACGATGTGATTCAAAACAGTCGACGGAAAGGGACTGAATTTACAACAGCATTCAGCAGTGTTCTGGATCTTGCATTTAAACATGTTGCAAGGTAAGGTCTTGGATTCGTGGCTTCCCTTGGAAGCATACATCTATGAAAATGGACTGTTTCACAAAATAAAATGTGTATGCATCTCGCTCATTCATGTATTAATAATTCAGTAGTCCCCATTTGACGTACATTGTAATGCTTGAAGATTTGTGTTTTATGTTCTGAACATGAGTCTGTTACCGCGTATGCGTCAGACATCAGTTGTCAGACATCTCTGGATTAGTAAGTCCAGAAGTAAGACATATCGGTAATGTTATACATGTCAATTAGGTTTTCATTTCATTTAAATTTTCCTGGCATCGATCCCTCTCGCTTTTGTACTCTTGAATGTCAATTCAGCTGAATACAAACAGAGATCATGTCATTGACAATGACTTGTTACCTACGTTTTTACAAACAAACCACTCCAGATACTTCTTTGAAACATTTTTTATTCATTTATTCAGTCATTCCGAAGATGCTGTGATCAAGTCACTGGACAGGATTCTTAACATTTGGCGGGAAAGAGGTGTATATGAAGCAGATTATGTAGAAATTTTAAAAAGAGCATTAGGAACATCCTGTAAGTCTCAAGTAGTTTGTTTTTCTGGGGAATTCCTAGCATATTCATCAACTGCTTCTGAATTTTCAATTCTATTCTAGTGTAATAAGCACATGCGTTTATAGTTGAATGGTCTGCTTGTATAACAAAGTCTGTGCAAGTTTTATGTACACACAATCTTCCAAGATTTTTTAGCACACATTGTAGAAACCCACATATGGTAGTTGTGTTATAGAACCACTGTTACATAGTGCAACATTACAGAACATGGCATGTATATTTCTTGTCTGCATGATTACAGAAAGGCAAATCTTGATGCTCGAACCTTTTTTCTCAGCATCTAATCATCATCCTCACACACCGAAGAAAAAGAGAAAAATTGAGTTACCTGTAGAAGAAGAACTTGAAGATGAGCTGTCACAGTCGCCACGGGAACCACCAGATGTAAGACATTTTTTGTTTGTTTGTTGAGTATTAAATATTCAAAGATTGACTATCATGAAAAACAAATAAAATTCAGAATAGTTGTATAACTGCACTGTAGCATTTATTGTTCTTTCAAGCATTTTATCATGAAATGCCATGCTTATGTTTTTAAGAAAACGAACACAGATTATGCAAATTACCCACCATGCTTGGGAAGAACAATGTAGCACCATATGAGTTGCCTGTTAAACTCACAGTATTTATGCCATTAGGCAAAACATACTTGATAACATACAAGCATAGGTAGGTAGGTATACATAATGTATCAGGTTTAGATACTTAGGGATAAGCCATATATATCTTCAGTTTAGGGTTATATTTTGTACTACATAATTTATAGGTGCTTCATGATATCTTGAGTACCACTGATCAAATTTTAATAAGACTAGGTACATACGGTACAGTTCTCGTGAAAGCTTTGGCTTTTGTGGCATCATTGTCACCTACGCATGGCTTCATTGTCGCCTCAGCATCGCATCATTGTGGCATCAGCTTCGCGTCATTGAAAATTGTGTTCGCCTCGCTTATTTTGTGGCATCATCGTGGCCGCAGCTTCGCAGTCTCATGGCATCAGCTTCAAAGTATTGTGACATGAGTATGACCTCATTATTTTCACACGGAAAGGCAATAGAGAAAAACACATGTACAGAAGTTCGATATGTAATCGATTTGAAATTCAAAGCGGTAAGGGGAATAAAATAATATGGCCAAGAGTAAAATGACATTTTAAAAAGATATCTTGTTTAATTATTTAATGTTGCGAGTATTGGGTACCAAAAACTATGTGAAGTACATTGCAATCTGCAAGGTAACGAGTGTCATATCGACTGCAAGGAAAATCGTGATAAATTTAAATCACACGATGCAATCGTCGTTCGGATACAAAACAATTTGCTATATGAAATGAAACTGTTCTTGTTATAAAATTACCTTATTTTCGTTCATTTTCTTTGCTGGTAAGAGAACAGATTCAGATTCTTCATTTCGGTGGTATTTTTCTGTGTTTCGTTTAGTTTTAGCCGAGTCCGATCCCATGCCCGGACTACTAATACATGCAAAACGTATGTATGCCGCCTGGTGCGTCGGCGTTCTCGCCTGCCATCTTGATACATAGGTCCAAAACAAGTGCGTTCATTTCTAAACATGATTGTATGATTGTGGTGACGTCGGCTTTGTAAAATTTTACATCCAATTTTCAAAATTAAGCCACAATCAGTGACCTTAGCTCGATCTATACATACTTTAAAAGTATTCTCACAAAAAATATTTTCGAATAAAAATGAGCCACATCATGCCCTGTAAAAAATCGAATAGCACTTGACATGCAGAAATAATTTATTGGGCTTCAGAAAAAAACGGATCCATTTCATTGTAGCCGTAAATATTTGATGACCAGTCGATAAACAATTTGAAACTTGTGATACACACGGAAGTCCTGGGTCACGACCTGGGTCACAGAACCATATTTGTCCGTATTATCAACGGGACTTTGTGAGAGAACCACACCCACATTTTCAACCAGTTTTAGTGCGTACGTTGCCAACAAATGTTGAAAAACTTGTGAATGTTATGGATTTGAATGAAATAAAGTTAGCTATTGGTAAGACTGGTTAATAATATATCCCTCGATGCTCTTCGAATTTTTTAATTTTATTTCAAGGTGTGAAATGGATAATTGAAGTTCCATCGATTTCAAGGCGACTGTTTCACCTCGACAACTCTACGCTGTGTTGTAGTTTCGCGAGGTATAAAAAATATATAATAAATAGTACTTGTTTAATTATTTGATTTTACAGCCCGCAAATTACGGGACATGATCCCTATGAATTACAATAAATAAATGCTGATTGTGTTGAATGACGGACGTCAGGACCGTTTAGAGAAACCAACGGGGATCGATATTCCAAAGAAATTATTGGGACACGGTCGGTAGACATTTCAAACAAATTAAATTATTAACGAAAGACGAGATTTTTCCAGATATTTACGAACATACAAATGTACTGTCATAACAAATATATGCAAAATTTACAAATACACAAAGAGATAAATTTTCCAATTTATAGGTGCTTCATTATATCTTTAGTACCACTGATCAAATTTTAATAAAACTAGGTACATAGGTGCTTTTATATAATCCACAGATCTGATTCCTTCAGGGTTGAAATCCATGCATATTAATTACCTGTTATTAGTTTCATATGCATAACTGTAATGTACTAAGTACTGTTGCTTATAGGGTTATGCAATTGGTGCTATATTTTTGTTGTCTGATATATCTGGGTATGACCAAAATATTAAGTCATTGTATATGGTCATTATTTCATTAAATATTTATAATTCTAAAACCATAGCTACTTGGAATCACCCTAATCATTTTCTCTGTTAGAAGCACATATGTCTGATGTAAAAATAAAGGACAAAGATTTGTCTATGGTCAAACTAAGACTTATTAGAATGATTTTGCATGCTTTTATGTGTAATGAAAATGTGCTTCTGATATAGTAATAAATACAGTATTACTTAGTTGTACTTCATGCCTCCAATACCTTCAGCACACAAGAGTTCTTTCTAAGCTTTTTTTGATTGCTTACATACCTGAAAGTTAACAAAATTGACATCACACTTATGCTAAAGCTTTGTATGCAAATTACTTAATATATTTGGTAACAGGTATAGGTGGGCTAACACCTCCAAAAGTCGTGTCAAATTATATGCTGTACATTACTTCTTGCTGTCATCAAAACAATTTCCAGATTTATATTTATTCACTTTCTCCTCTGATGACTCTTCACCTGTTTGCAATTTCATTCTTCAGCCAGAGGAATTAGTAAAGGCGCTAAAAGAACTGGAACAGTCAGCTTCAAGTGATGCTGGTGTCAGGGAAAAAATAGCAAGTCTGCCACAAGAAGTTCAAGATGCAACACTTTTAGATAAAATTACCAGTAAAATACCATTCTCATTTATCTGTTAAAGTGCATGATTGAGTGTACGAGTAAGGTTTGAGAGTGTGTGGTAACGATGTGAGACGACTTCAATTTAACTTTACATCGACTTGTGACGACAGGACCTACATTGTGATGACCCTCATTATTTTCATAATTTATTTAATATTTAATCAAATTTAAGTCGAGTTTGTGTAGCTTAGGTTTAGTAAAGGGGGAAGGTATGGTTCAATTTATATTAATATAATTTTCTATATTATGTCACGGTATATTCAACTTCTATTTAAAGTGCCTGTGAAATGGCTGCTATTTTCACGCCTAAAATTATCCCTTGATACATAAATATTATTAATTTTTATGTTTCTAAGCATAAATTATTTTTTAGCTCTGCTGTTGACTTTGTCGAGCGGAGCTTATCATACGAGTGATTGTCCGTTGTCGTCTGTGTCAATGTTTTACTGTTTTGACTTCTTCTTGAAAACTACTAGCCTGAATGCTTTGATACTTGGTGTATATGTACCTTGGGTAGATCTCTCTTAGGTTTGTTCATTTCATGTTGATATCTTCAATTCTCTAATTTTGGTGAATATTTTTGTCATTTTTGGTAAAAAGTGATATTTTCGACTTCTTGTTAAAAACAGCAAGTCCAATTGCTTTGATATTACACATATAGGTACTACATGTGGATCTCTCTCAGATTTGTTCATTTTGTAATGATATCTTTAATTCTCTAATTTTGGTGAATATTGTTGTCATTTTTGGTAAAAAGTGATATTTTAACTTCTTGTTAAAAACCGCAAGTCCAATTGCTTTGATATTACATATATAGGTACTACATGTGGTCCTCTCTCAGATTTGTTCATTTCATGATGATATCTTCAATTCTCTAATTTTGATGATAATTTTTGTCATTTTTGGGGAAAAGTGATATTTTTGAATTCTTGTTAAAAACAGCAAGTCTACATATTGTTCATTTTCTAATGATATCTTCATTTCTTTAATTGAAATGTGCATTGCTAACAGCGGAGCTATCTCAGCCGACAGGCTGCTTGTTTTAAGTGAAAAAATGTGTTTTAAACGCAGTCTACGGCAACTTCATTTTGGTGTATTTTATATTGAGGCTCCTCATTAGCTTCTCATTTGCATACAAAAATTTCCCTTGTGACGTCAGAAGGGGAAGTCGCTGGGTAGCTTGCATTGCAGATACATGTAACTAAGGCAAATTTCTTGTGCTGTTTTCTCCTCTTTGACTAAATTGTCACTTATGTATTTGTTCGTCGAAGAAGAATGGACCATAATGAACACATAGTATCAAGTTTGTTGCACGGGGTTGAGTTAGATGCTAAATATGTTCGTTCTGGTGTAGCGGATCACCGTGATCCTCACCGGGGATCGTCACCTGTGCATGTTTGTACACTGTCGCTGGACAAAATCAAGTTTGACGTCTGAATTGTCTCGTTATTTAGCAGGTTACTAGGCACGTCACTACACTGTTTTATTTCATCGATCGTCTGAATAAAACAAAAAAAACTTTCAAAATTAAAATATAAAGAGAACATATTTTAACATTCTAAACATTAAACTATAGTGATCAATGAATAAAATAAAATAATTAAAAATACGACAAATCACAGTAACTGAATAAATGACAGCCGCGTGGAAATAAATTGACATTTTGTTGAAATAGATGAGCGTGTCAGCTCACGACGAGGACAAGTGCGTTAAAGGTGGCATTTAGTTGGATAAATTCAGAGTGGATTCGATTTAGCGTGATCCATGGTGTGATTGTCATAATTATGACATCATATTAAAACTTTATTTGGTGGAAACACATTGACAGCCCAAACCCAGATTCTTATTCCATAAATTATTACGCAGATCAAGCTGCAAGTAAAGGTAACAGAGGTGTGAATTCGATATTCAACGACAATCACCGAACAATTCAGAAACATTTAGCCTGCGAAAATGAAAAAAATTAGCAGTGTGTAAGGGCTGTGTAATTTCCTGTTTGTCCAACGCTTCGTTTTTCATGTCATTGTCAAAATTATTGCTACCTCTTACTTAAAACGGACTAAATGGTCTCTATAAAACGATAATCAGGATCGCAAAAAGTCAAATCATTTGAAAAACTTGCCCGACCTCTCTCCCTCTACTGAAAGCCGCCTCGGTGATCATGGGCTGGTCCAGAATCTATTTCTTTCAAAAGTGTTGCGCCAGGTTGTCGGCATTTATCTTTAAACCTACCGGTAGTTGTTTTTTTCATGGACGAGAACAGTTTTTAAAAAAAAAAGAATCTGTTAAGTTAAGTGGACACTATATATGACGGTGTAAGGAGAAGGTCCACCCCAACCATTTCTCGTTGCTTTCACGGCGTTCGTCCACTGATGTCGCACCACACAACATCTAAAAACTCTCTCAAAAAAAAAAGCCAAGCGAAAAATGTATATCGTTTAAAAGTATATTGAATGACCAGTGTTATTACGGCTCAGGGGTATGACTTCCTCTCATGTTTTGGCATTTGGTGGAGCATTTTCGACGAGAACAGTAGACTGTTTCAGGATAGGTGGGCCTGGTTACAACACAAGAAATATCTCAAATTTACTTGGATCCGAGTAATAATTTTCTGCAAATGTATGTGTGCGCGTGTGTGTGTGTGTGTGCGTGTGTGCGTGTGTGTGTGTGCATGTGTGATAGAGTGGTTGTATAAATGAGTTAATAAGGGAGTGACAGAGCATATCCATGTAAATACACCTGTTATTTTAGTAATAGTGCATGTATATACACCTGTTATTAACAGTACATTGCTATGTATATACACCTGTAATTTTAGTAATAGTGCATGTATATACACCTGTTATTAACAGTACATTGCTATGTATATACACCTGTAATTTTAGTAATAGTGCATGTATGTGCACCTGTTATTAACAGTACATTGCTATGTATATACACCTGTAATTTTAGTAATAGTGCATGTATATACACCTGTTATTAACAGTACATTGCTATGTATATACACCTGTAATTTTAGTAATAGTGCATGTATGTGCACCTGTTATTAACAGTACATTGCTTTGTATATACATGTGTAATTGACAGTACATTGCTTTGTATATACATGTGTAATTGACAGTACATTGCTTTGTATATACACTTGTTATTTTAGATAAAGAATCAGCAGAACGATTATCAAAGATGGTGGATGATGCTTGTTTGTTATTAGCTGAATATAACGGAAGATTAGCGGCCGAATTAGAAGACAGAAAACAAGTTTCGAGAATGCTGGCTGATTTTATCGCTGGACAAAAAGAAAAATTAGCAGCTTCAGAGCTGAAATTAGAAGTAGGTATTCTGGTTTTCAATTCACTTGATTTACAAATTACAGTGTTTTTAAAAAGTATATGTTAGGTATTGTGTACACAAATAGATATCTACAGCTAATAAGATATTACAGACATATAGTCTGGTCCTCATTAATCTGAAATACAACCCAGCTTCTTTCAAAGGGAAGCTAGTAAAATTATATGTCATGCTTGCTCATGATTGAAGTTTTTGGGTCAATACAGTGCTATGTTACAAGTATGTTTATGTTTTGAAATGTTTATAGTGTGCAGTGAGCATGATGTAGGATAATGATATACCGGTATACTGGTAACCAGAGAAAGAAAGAATAGTAGAATACACACATGCACTATTTTGATGAGATATTACTCAACAGTTTCTCATTTAAGACATGTGTTTCATTATTCTTCAATGTTAACAGTCAAAATAAAATAAAATTGTTTTATGGAACAATGGCAACAAATAGCTTGCATCTTAAGGTGAATAATAATTATATTTCCTTCTTTTTTCATATACAGACATATAAAGAAAAACTTGCCAAAGTGACGCGAGTTCGAAAGGAGCTGAAATCCCATCTTCAAAATTTACCTGACCTAACACTATTACCTGATGTAACTGGTGGTCTTGCACCTCTGCCTTCAGCTGGTGATCTATTTCAGTGAAGTTTGACCAGCTTTTAATTTTATCGTACTATACCTGTTCATCTTCAATACCTGAATATTACTCTATTCACTTGCCATAACAAAAGAATAGAATTGATTTCTGATAGTCCATTCTCAAACATGCATTGTTTTTTTTATTCAAGACATAAGCACACGTGATATAGTTTGGCAATTTGATTGACTGGACATCGATTGACGTAGATGCAAACTGGTGGTCATTATTGTTAAATATACATGTCAATATGTATCCAAAAGTTACTGATCTGATTGTTATTTTGCACATATATGAGATATTATATGTGATGTTATTTTGTTTTATTTTTCATCCAAAATTTGGCTGTCTGGTGGCCATTTTGTTGTTGGAACTTATGTATAAAATGTTTTGACCAATTTGATCATATCTTTACAAAGTAGCATGTTAATAAGACATTTATAAACCACTAAAGCAAATTTAGTCTCACATGTCAATGCAACATGACCAATTGGCAGCCATTTTTGTTTTTAAAATGTGTGGCTTACTTGTGTCTGCGACATGTATAGCATGATTTACAACAAACTAAAATGTTGTCTCTGTATTTTACTCCCCGTAGTGAAATTATAAACATGGTCCAGATTTTTTTTCAATATTTTTAAGAAAAAGGTAGACATTGTGTTGGCAGAATGGACAAGACTACACAATGTACCAACACATGTTCATGCCCACTGATATTTATTTTAAATTTAGTTCACTTGCTGCTACTTTGTTTCAAAGTCGACAAGAGATTGCAATTTTGTGTGGTTCACAAGAAAACTGTGGAAATATTTTTATTTCCATTTCAAAAGCAGATTGGTGTACAGCGTGTCAAAGTTGAGTTACCATGTCATACACTTCAGCATCGATTTTCACATGAAAACAAACCTAAGAATTATTTTGAAAGAAATTCATATAAGCTGATCAATGAAAACGTCAGTATGTGGATGCAGCTCCAAGAATTGCAACCATTAATATCACACAAATCTCGAGACATGTCTTTGGTCAGCCTGTTCATGAAATAGTAGATGAACTTGATGTTAAATTTTCTCCATGTTTTGGGGTGATAGATGATGTTGTGCCACTGACAGGAACTGTCACGGTCCAATGCTAGGAAGGAACATATGTTACCTGCTCACACTTTTTACACTGATATACGTCATCGAGTTTGGCGATACTAAATCTATGGGTTGTCTGCAATGTAACTAATAACAATCAGGACAATGTTTATAAATTCACTAGTACTGTAGTTGGAAACTAATTTCAGAGAACATTTATAGCACACTGATGGAAATTATTTGGTTTTGCATGTCAACTGTTGGCCATTTTGTTATTTGAAATATACCGGTATGTATCTATTGCATGTGTGTATCGGATTTGTCATCTTGTTTTAAAAAAGTGATTGACTGGTTGTCAGTTTCATTTTTAAAATGTGCAGTTTTTAGGCACTTTTTTTTTAATAATCATTCATCTTGTTTTGAAAAATCAAAATTGTGAAATATACCAAGGAGACTATTCTCAATGCTTGTTTGACATAAATACACACTGAATGTAATGTAATACCTCCTAGTCATGTAATTGTATTATATTATAGATAAAGGTTTAAGTTCCCTATGTATGTATAATTTTTTCACAAGTTTAATACACAGTCCATTGGAAATATCTTAAAATGTACGTTTGGACACCAGTATGTGTAAATTATGTTTTCCTGCTTCCTTCTGTTTATAATAATGAAACCATGTTTTTCATATTTTGTGAATATTGCGTTAACTTTCAAAGGTAATCTGGATGTCTACAATACAGAATCAACATGTTTGGTGAAACTGAAGCTGGTATAGTTAAATATTTGCCTACAACTGCATGTTGCTGAAGTGAATCTACATCAATCAATCAATTAATTTATCCCAAATCATGTCTATTGAAAAACTATATACTAGCTGTGATTCAATGCAATTTACAGTTTATTTAGACTTTTCACCTACAATAATACTGCTAAAATGTGGCATTTATTTGTCTTCATGTCAATGAAATTTGTTAATATGGTGGTATTGAGATGCAGGAAAGCACTCTGTTTGAAAATAGTTTCTTCACCAAAACCATGTAGTCTAGTTGTATAAAAAATGATCCATCACACTGAAAAGTTAACAGATTTCAATAAAGTTTAAGAACAATGGATTTATCATACAGCTTGTCATTTGTGCATGGCATGTCAGTAAATATGTACTACTTGTATTAGGATTGCCCTCATAGTGAACTCCATACACAACAGCAGTTTTCCTTGACTTGTGAGTGACTTTGGAAATTTGAAAACATATTAACAAAGAAGTCAACAGTAAGTTTCAATGATGATCTTGTTAGTTTTAATCCACTTTGTTATCACTGCACATCATGTAGTGTTCACTGCTGGGATACATGTGACATTTAGGATGGTTTCAACCATGACAAATATTTATGCTGTTTACTTTTCAATTTGTTTCTGAAAATGTTCTTGATCATCATGATGAGA